ATAATCACTGATGTTCCGCGGTAACGGTGGTGGACTCATCAGAACAGAGTGGGCGAGCTGACCAATCAGAGCACAGTGGGCTCACAGGGAGTGGGGGGCAGGAGATCCAACAAGCCGTTTAGGACAGAGAGTGAATACACATACTATACAGAGATGCTGTATGAGAAACCAATGTGATTTTGGAACATTGAACAATGTAAATCTATTCTAGTAGACCTCAACAATGGTATTATGATCAGTAGAAATGGCCATGTCATGGGACCTTTAAATAATAATAATACAGGATAAAGGTCATATCCAACTGATTAGCAGGAAAAAGTGGTATTCAGCATTTTCAACACAGGATGACCTCCTACTTGTTTCAGACTTCACTGTATTCGTCTACATGACCTCATCGCTCCAGCAGACAAAACTTCCTCTCATGTTTTTCAAAGCAACTCACCGCATTCGAATGGCATCCTCCCCCAGCGGCTCCCTCCTTCTTTTTTTCTCAGCTTCCTTCGCTTTCTTCTTCTTCCTCAAGCTGAGCTTCTCTTTTTCTCTGCTGGATCTCAACCTCTGCTCTTGCTGGACTCCATGCGAGGTCAAGGCCTTGGGTTTTTGGTCATTGTCTGTGAGTGTGGACCGGTGTCTCACCCTGTCACCGCCTTCCCTCTCCGCCCGCCGCCGCCTCACCCTCCTCACCACCAGGAACACAGCCAGGGCCAGCACCAGCAGCAGGCCAATCGCTACAGCTATCACAGCCCACAGCCATGCAGGAGCTGGCTCTTTGAGAGGAAGGATTGAAAACAAAGCAGCAAAATATGTAAAAATATATCAAGATACTCAATAGTTTTTCAAGATTCAAGGCTTTTATTGTCATTTGTACATCTGAATGAACATCTTAGGTCACAGACTCCTCAAACAGTGCAAGAATAAAACAGATAAAATAGTGCAAGTAAATAAAAATAAAATATAATATAATAGAAATAGTGCAAAATAGTCTATATACAAGTAATTGGAATATTGATATATATAAGTTGCAAACAGATGAATGTTATGGATGTTCTTTCAAAAGTTCAGATGTTTAACAGTCTTAAATACTTACATACTTAAATATCAGTTTGTGATCCTATTAACTAAAGTACTAAATATCATCTGATAGGAAGTCATATTCTCACAGTGGTCCAACATTTTCCCCAAAAAAACCACACATCACAATTACGCACTGGAAACGGAGAGTTGTTTATAGTGTTTTGTTTGGATGACATTCAAAGCTTGATGGGTTTGTGTGAGTGTGTGGGGGGAGGACAGGACAAGACCTGTGAGCCTACCTTTGACTTCCTCTTTAACCACTTCCTTCTCTCTGCTTCCTATTTCCTCTCGGACACCTCTTATACTGATGACGGTTTTCAGCTCTGGTAGGGTGGTGAACAAGCTCGGCTTTAGCAGCAGTACGGCACGCAGGAAACTGGCTGCCTCTGTGGCATAGGGGAAACAGGTAGAGGGCAGCCGGGAGCACGGCCTGTTGTCCACTTGGAGGAAGAGGAGGGAGCTATAGGAAAGAGCGAGAGAAAAAGGAAACAGCAGGTTCATAATTGTTGAGAGTAATTTTGTTGATAAATTATATAACCATTACAATTTTAAAGCTTTATTATCTGATGTTTTGCGCACTGATGACTTCGCAACAGCTTGAGTCTTTGTTTTTTGTGTTTTCTTGAATACATTTTTTTTTAATCTGGTAGTTGTACCAACATTGAAATAATTATTTTAAAGAAATCGATACACTCTCTTTCCAAAATGTATTATAAAAAAGAATGCTCATATAATTTATTGCAAAATAGATACACACAGTATATATAAGATTGGCTTACCGGAGTTCCCCAAGGTTCTGTGCTTGGGCCACTTTTATTTTGTCTTTAGGTTTATTTGTTTCTTTTATTAATGAAATTGTAAACTTGTTTAAGTATTATTTCTCTTTTTTTTCACCGGAATTTCTATTGTTTTAAGCTGTCTTGGCCAAGGGGGCTAACTTGTTTAATAAAACAGGACTAAACTCATTATTTTTGACAGTTCATTTAGTACTTACCCATCAGCGTCAGCCGCAGGAGCCTGAGCCAGCAGGTTGGAGAGCTGATTAGGGTCGAAGACAAACAAGTTCCTGTTAGCGGCGAGGGGGGCGGACCCTCTCAGTGTTAATGGCGACTGGAGGAGGACACTGAGCGCCCAGAGCAGAGAGCTGTTGGAGAAGACCCCACGTTGTTGTGGGAAGTTGGCGTGAAGGACCAGGGTCCCCTTGGCCCACAAAGAGCTCTGATGTTTGAAGCAGTCGCTGCCATCCCATCCACAGGGGGCGCTGTCACAGCCCTGCTCGCAGTGGGAGTTGGCGTAGTGATCGCGACAGTACTGGATATATACTGGACTGTGAACAATAATGGGGAGGAAAAAAAAAATTAAGAAAAAAAGACACAGTAAGAGATTTGACAACAAATTGACTATAAAATGTGGTATTTTGCTGTTAAACAATTTCTAAGGTCAAGGATGACATTTAATTCTCAAGATAAAAAATCCAGAACAGGGAGTAATGATTTAACATAATTCTTATAATAATGTTAGTTTTTAAGTTTCCATTTTTACACTTATATAGTATTTTGAATAATTGTATAAAACAACGATGTATTGTGTTACCATTTCATTTTTTCTTTTCACAAGTGAACTGATTAGGACAATAAACTATATGGAATTAATATTACTATTGATAATAATTAAAGGAATATCAAGTTGAGTCCACATTGAATAAAAAACCTCCTTAAACATTATTTTTGTGAAAAAAACGTCATATAATGATGCAAATGACGAAAAAATAGATGAAAAAGACATCACATAATCCAACAAATAATCATTTTAAAGGACAGCCACAGCTGACACAATAAGCAAACATATTGTAATTAACAACATTTCCTGTAAAAAGCTGGTTTTGATGGTTTTCTGACAGTAAAAATGACAACAACAATGTTTTACTTGCAGGGTGCCTGGTCCTTCAGGCAGTCGAAGCCATCTCTGAGACACTCGGGCTCCATACACTCTCTGTCACATGACGCGTCTCCAAACTTGTCTTTACACTTTCTGTTGACAGGACACTGACCCCACGGATCACCAGAAGCAGCTGTGGAGACGAAAACTGATTAGCAGCAACAGTCAACAATGTTGTACAATAATTGTGATCATTCTTATCTTTCAATTGTGGTTAAAAAATAAGCAAGATGTACTTTGTTCAGTGTCTTGTAAATGAATGAAACATGTATGTCTATTTAAAATGCAAGAGAGTATTTGTAGATATGTCAAAGGCAAACAACATTACTCCAAATATCACAGATGTGTACACTTGGCAATTATGTTTTTAGATTATATCATGAGGTCTTGCAGTTTCATTTAACGACACAAGCTGTTATCGCTAAATGTTTTATCGCAGGACCGGCTGACCCACACAATAAGAAGCTCATTGTCTCAGAGCATTAGCCACTATTCATAACAATGCAGGTCAAGCCATGAGAGGTGGGTCCTGATACGGGCCGTTAAAGGAAACAGGAAATGGGCCCGACATAAACAGGAAGTTTCAAGGAGAAGTGAATAGCAACAGGAAATGGAGTGGGCTGGGACTTGATAAAGGTTAAAGGTCGTTACTGTGGAAATGAGGAATGTGATGAAGTTGGACAATGGGCTGGCAGGTGTGTGCGGGAGCAGAAAATCATACAAACAATAAAGAAGTACAAACAATAGTGCCGAAATTAGACATGTTAAATGTTTAACACTTCTGTTCCACTTGATAATCAAAGAGAGCCTTCCCGGTATGGGAGGAATGGAAAAATAAGTTATTATAAAATTAATTTTTAATAAGCCCTTTAGAACAACCTATAAGAATCATTTGAAAGGTTCATTCATTTTATACATTAATAATAAAAAACAAATAACTAGTAATAATGATAAATCTAGATGATTACTTAAGTTTACATCAGTATTAAACAAATAAAGGGCTTTATATTTTATTGTAAGACATTAATTTAAGTTGAAAAATTCTCCATAAAATAAATTAAATGCAGTTCTCAGAGTCAACGTCATTTTTGCTAAATCAGTCATTGGTCATCAGATGTCTACCTTTACACTTAGTCCAGAAGATAAGGTATCGCACAACTTTGATTGAACACGTGACACTTAGTATTTATAAAGGAAAGATAACAATCTGTTGAGAATAGGGTGGCTAACTCACCTTCAGATATCCAGCTCAGTCCCAGCAGAACAAACGTCCTCAGGACCAACATCTTCAGGTTGTTCACCAGCTGCGGGCCTTTTCTCCTTCGCTCAAGAGAGCCAGTAGTCCAGTCCAGCTGTTTGTTTGCCTGCCTCTGATCTTCTCCCTCTGACCCGCAGTGCTTTTTTGGTTGTTAATCTGTAGCTCTGTGGTGTAGCTGCAGTCCTGCTGTTCACAACCAACAGTTAACTCTGAGTAAAGCTGCTCATTCCCATCACTGCCGCCACCACCGACACCTTCCAACACCACCACCCAGCCCACTTTGTTCACTCGCCTTTTTTTCAGAGGCCCTGCGGATATCTGGACAACTTCCTGCCACTGTGTGGAGAAGAATAGGAGGTTGATGACCGTACGTGTATGTGTATGCATGTGATTTGTTGCTCTTACTGTGTTTAAACTTGAAAAAAAAACACACTCTACGGTGTATGTGAGCTGTTAGAGGAGCCGTTATTTCAATGAGTAAAAGCTACAGGGTGAGAGGCGACGGAGTGGTTTGAATTTGACCTTTACGAAAGAGTGGGTTTAGTCTAGCTCTTGAGTCGGGAAAATAAACAGACTTTTAGTGCTCTGCCCCTAAAACAACTATGTAAACTGCTTTGTTGTTATTATTAAATACATAAAAGAAAACTTAAATGTCTCTTAATGTCTGTCTTAAGCACAGAATACAAATAAATAAAACAAATAATTTTTAAAGTTTGCAGTGTTGCGAATACTTTAAGGCACGTTGACCTTTCACATCACACATATTAAAATCCCAAACAGTAGATTAACAGATATGTTTTAGTATTTTTCCAACACACATTATGACACACATTTGTTTTAGTTTTGAACTAATTATAATGGTGAAGAATATATATCTCACAAAATAACTCACATTTTAGGGAACAACCACGCATTCTCAATTACAAATAAATAAATAAATGTAGTGCTTAGATAATTCCAGTGAAACGACGGCTAAACTGCATGGAGACTGGGTTGATTATAGAATCGATCACAGTCTATGCTCATAATGATTTGATAAAATGTGAGAAGTCATTTAGGCAAAGTCTTGGAATTGTTCTTTCCAAAATGTGTATATGTGTATTTTAAAGTCACTCCAACATAATACCTTTTGGTCATGAACCCTTCTCTACTGGATTACCCGCTTTTTCCGATTGTGGGCCTCCTCTCTCCAAGCAGTATTCCTCCCAGAGCTCATTAAACAAATTCCCAGTCGCACCGAAAGAACATCCCTGATCCCTTTTGGATTCACACAACCTCAAATCCATCTTTTTAAACACAGCACAGAACACCTGGCGAGAGAGTGCTGTGGTCTTCCTCTCTGAGCAGTGGTTGTAGTAGTGCCTGTACACCTCGGACATGTTGGAGAAGACTGGCTCCAGATACAGTTTGGAGACGGACGTCCCGCAACAGTACGAGGGAACCTTTGGTAAACTCTGGAGGAACTCATTCAGGACTATATGCTCAGACGCTTTACGGGATTTCCCTTGTGTTTGTTTCTTAGTGATTTGCTCCGAATTGTCCTGCTGGGATATATGTTGTGACCAGTTAAGCACTGACCACTCTCCAATCCCCAAAGTGGAGAGGAACATCTTTTTGCAAACTTGTTTTCTGTTGCCGTCGGCTATCAAATGATACCGCATCGAGACAGACCTTCTCGACTGAGTCCATGGTGCTCGTGTTCTTTCAACCGGGTCGCAGTCGACTAATCCGGACACGTAGACCTTTCTCTGAGCCCACGTCATACACTGCCAGAAACTAGCGAACAGCTGGTTCCTCCCTTCTTCACTGAAGTCAGCACAGAAGCGGTTGGATGCCCTTTTGCAGGCACTGGACGAGCATCCCGATCCCATTGTCCTCTGACCTTTAGTTATGGTGGTGCCGTCTTTCTTTCGTTTGCTGATGTACGGTTTGCCCTCCATCCTGAGTTGCTTCTGTCGATTCTGCTTCCACGTCAGCGGCTTGGCAACTCTGGATTTATTTCCGTCTGACCCCTCTGGTTCTGACTGCCTGTCTCTGTCAGTGGCAATCACTTGTTCTGCAAAAAACAGAGAGATGGTGTTAACATATAAGAGGTTATACTGTGATAAAATACAGTGCTGAACAAAAACTATTTATGGCACAAACTTAAATTGTTACATTAGTGCACTAAGTTGTGCAGTGTGTTTTAATTCTCAATGGATCTCTTGATTATTTTTCAGACTGATGATCAATAATCTGGATCATAGAAAATCTAAAAGGTGGACATTTCATGGTTGTTTTGTCCAATCAACAAAATTGGACAAATCGAGTTACAATGCTTTATATCAGAGTCTATGTCGTGAGTCTAACATTTGAGGAACTAGAATCAGCAAATGTTGAGCATTTTTGCTTGATATGATTGCTCAATGTTGTGCCAGTTGAGTATTCAGTAATTAAATACCTGTTTCAGACCTACAACTATCTTCGGTAAGTAGCTAAAAAAGGAGAAAAACACTCACCCTGGGAACCTTCTGCAGAGTTATTGACTGCAGAAGTAACTGGGTTGTCATGTGGGCAATGAGGGACAGTCTGGCTCTTTTGTAATTTGTCTTCATTTGATTCATTGTTTGTTTGTTCTCCTTTCTGTGTCCAGTTGAGCACAGACCACTCTCCTATCCCCACAGTGGACAGGAACATGTTTTTACACACTTGTTGCCTCTTTCCATCCAACATCAAGTGATAACGCAGAGAAACTGATCTTCGCGACTGCAATCCCACCGCCCGAGATCTCTCCACGGGGTCGCGGTCCACTTGTTCTACTACATACAGTTTTCTCTGAACCCAGTTCATGTGCTCCCAGAAATCATCAAACATTTTCTTCCTGGCCTCCTCATTGATTTCATTACAAAGACGTTTTGTTGCCTTTTTGCATGCATTCGAGGTGCACCGCGATCCGATTGATCTTGGCTGTTTTATTACTTCCTCGCCATCTTTTTTGCGTTTGCTTACATATGATTTACCCTCCATCCTCAGCTGTTTCTGCTTGTTTTGCCTCCACTTGGATGGATCTGCAAATTTGGCGTTGAGTTTTTCCCTGCCGGCCTTTGACTTATCCATACAAGTGTTTCCATTTTTGGCAGCAGACGGGAGCGCTGAAAATAAAATACAAAAAATAATATTTATTGAAAGAAGAAATAAAAAACAAAACAACATTGGTTGGAAATATCATATGTGGTTTATCCCTCAAAATATAGTGCAACAACAAATGTTATTCATAATTTTTTTTTTTTCTTCTTTTTTTTTGTGGATCTACAGACTAATATTGTAATGCAAATGTTTTGATGATCCCTTTCTCTCTGTTCACATCCCAAAAAACACTTTGTTTTCCACAGTTAACAGTATAAATAATACATATATAAACAGGTTATCAGTTAGGATGAGTTTAGGTGGGTTGTGAGTGTAAGTGGATGGAGAAAATGTGTGTAGAAAAAATCAAATACAAGACAGGAATAGAATATAAAAACTAGCATACACAATTGTGCTTCCAACTACACATGGTTACAGTGTACAGTTTAATGTATCTTAAAACAAGATTAAATTATCCTTCTTATACATCTGCAGACTCGAGAAATCCACTGCAAACACAACTTCAACACACTGTTACTTACTGGTGTCAGCGCCTACACTCTGTAGAGGAAACTGGGGGATGATCTGTGGCTCTGCTATCATTACTGAGTGGGACCTTTTTCTGGATGAACCATCTTTATACGTGTCAGATTTCCTGCTTGCATCAGTGATGTGCAGACTGTCTGGAGGAAACAGAACACACATAAACATCTACATTAAACATGCAAATCACTGCTTTGCTTCATATTCTGAGCCCGTACAGACCCGCTGGGATGTGGTGCAGCCCAAAAGCCTCAGTGACTGTGGCTCTGGGAACAGGGGGATCACTGGTGGCTTTGGGATGCAAACCAATATCCTCCATTGCTGCAATAGCTAAAACACAAGAAACAGGTTGTTGGGAGTGTTAAAGATTTAGCAAAAAACGATGTCCTAATCCTACAATCCACACTCTGTAATAATTAGCATTAGCCTGCTTGTCCATTCAGACTCAAAAGCAATTGGAAAACACTGCTTGTGCATGTTTTACTGTTGACAACAAAGCCATGTGATGTGTCTAAATCCAGATGTTTGGGTAGCTTACGTAGAAGTAGGCGTTGCAGGCCTGATTCATCGGAAGGTAAGTCGAAACGTAATACTGGTAATAGTACATGTTTAGCTAACTTTATGCGCAGCTAAGTCCTAGCAACTCTGCTTGCATGCCAGACAACAAACACCACTTTTAAAATTACACATATTTTTGGCTTTGCTTACATAGTGTTATACATTTGAAAACGTCTCGTAGACGCGTCGGTTCCATCCAGATCAGATTTCTCCCACTGCCGAGGTTTTACTCCTTCATGGTTCGGACAGTGAAACACGAAATCTGTCAGCTCAGTTAACTCACGTTTTATTTCGATAAATATATTTTACTGTGGGCTCTGTGTAGCTTCCCACTGGCAGCTGCCATGTCCGAGCATGCGCACTGGCTTTCAGTCACTCATTCAGCTAAATAAAAATCACAAAAAAATACAACAAAAACAGCAACAGCAATTGTATAATAATTATAATAATATTATTAATCGCAGTAATAATAGTTTTTTATTTTATAATATTTTTCTTTTTGTGGGCAGTGTTGGAAGTAGTATTCAGTTGTAGTCCTGTATTTGGAATTTTACCTAAAAAAAAGAAATGAATATTGTTGATATTTTTAAAGGTTTTTTTGTGCAGAAATCTGCAAAAGTATCCCAATTAAATAAGAAATATGAAAAGTAAGGAGTATCTGGATTTTTTATATAAGAAAAAAATATAAGAATAATTTTTTTAAATATTTTAAACATTGTTTGGAACTACTAACAGCTCATATATGAGAACTACAATTGAAATAATCTATGTAAGTGAAATTGTTTTCCTCCAAGAAAGAAACTGTAAAGAAATGTAATTGGGTTTTCAAAATACACACCAAAGGAAACATATAAGTGATTTATGGAGGGTTTAAAACAGGCTCCCTAAAAAAGGGATATTATATGTATATATAGCTTTACTCATCCTATCTTTCTAACATGAAAGCAGGGGGAAGGAAGGAAGCTATCAGGAAGTTCAAAGTTTCTGCTGGGGTTTCATTCCCCTTAGTTGTCTTAATGGGTTACAAAACATGACAAGAATAACCAATCGGATAAAGCAGGCCACTGTCCTCAGACACACAGCTGCAGGGACAGCAAAAGTCTCACGTTTATAGCCTGTCAATTATTTGTTGGTAGTTTAAATAATTGCACATTTGTAAAAATAAATAACTTTAAATTATGACTGATTTTAAACTGTCTTGTTGACTAAAATGTGTCCCAAAAATCTTGAAAAATGTAAATAGGTAGGCATAAAAATAGATACAACTTTATAAAACCTTACTAAACAAAATAAAATTCTGGGTAAACAAGTAAGACTAACAGTCAAATACATATGGTAAGGTAGACATTTAGTGTATGTTAACATGAGCACACACAATAAAACTGTAATGAAAAAGTGTATTTCAATAAATAGATCTAAATTAAATAAATGGGACATATATTAACACAACTTTTATAGCATACTTTAGGCCTAATGTTAACTCTTTATTATTCCATTGAAATTATTATTTTTTTCAGCAAGGCAACATTAAACCAAAGAAAGTACATTCAAAATTCAACTCGAATTCCTAAAACCGTGAATGAAATTTATTTTAGAAGGCTATTGAATTTACACTGTTGAAATGTGGTGTATTAATATTTCCAGGTCTAAGGTTTGAAAGCTATAGCAGTTACATATTCTCGCCACATGGTGTCGCTGCTGGGCTGTGATAGCACATATTCAGGGTTCAAACCATAGTCAAACCAAGCATATCATATCACTGTTACACTGTACAACGTGCAACACACATTGTTGCCATTTACTATAGTTTTTGAAAGCATGGTTTGGGATAAATACCAAACTTCATATAACCAAAGTCAAAGAGCATGTTATAAGTCGTTAGTCTTTATCCTTGACTGTGGCAGATATGGGACTTTCCGCTGTAAAACGAGTTTACTTTCGGTTTCAGTTACAGACAGATAGACTCGGTCGACGTTTGAGCTAGCAGGCTGTTGGGATTAACTCAATTTTTGTTGAGTTTGTAAGAGAAATATCGGTGTCAGATTCCGTCCTCAGGCTAATTTCAAAACTTCACATCAGACTTGGTTGGTCGAAAGGAAATGTAAGTTGAATAAACAACCGTAATGCTACTAGCAGCTAAACTGGGCTATCAAGCTTTTCCATAAGCATACGTTACTGTTCGACTAAATAATACTGCATAGCAATATTGTATTTAAGAGTTTTGCTTATTCGTTGGTGTTTCTGTGGGTGGGTTTGACTTGGTGTTACTGTGGGTGGGTTTGACTTGGGGTTACTGTGGAACCGTTTCAAAGAAATCCGCAGCGTGGAAGAAAATGAAAGTAACTTCATGCAGAACACTGCTGCAAACTGAAAGTAGATTCTCACCACGAAGTTCATGCAATATAACGTTTTTGTCTTAGTTTTTATAGTTATCAAGTGGTAAACTGCTAAAATGTAATCAATTACATAGCTTGATTAGTCATTATGAAAACAAACATGCTGTATCACTTTCAATCCAGCTACCTCATATATGAAACACATTATACCATTTTTAATACCATGCATTACAGCACCTCTTCACACTGCAGTCAAGTACATAGTGTCTACAAATTGCCTTTTGGTGCTGTGTGTTTATGTTTTTTGTGTTTCCTGTCTGTGTGTGTGTCTGACTTGATACTGTACAGCTACTGACCCTCCCCCCTGTCACTTTTATTTGCAGAATCTGGGCATTATGCCAAAAATGAGCTACTTCTCCCCCCTACTGTTCGTGGGCCTGGATGTGTGTGTGATGCACGCCATCCGCTTGGCCCATATCTCATCCGCCATTGTCTTCCATCCGTTCATCACCCTGTGGGGAGGAGGGCTGGCCAGGGCTTGCCTCCTCGCCCTCTTCACCCTTACCTCCCCTGGAAGCCTGCTGTGGATGAGGAGCTTCGAGGGGATTCAGAGCTTAGCGGTCCTTTGCTTCCACTTCCCTGTGTTCATCACTCTTCTCTGGGCTCTAGATCAGTCTACCTTGGATGAAGTGTGGGGGTGGCACTCCTGGGAAAGGGTGGGTGGCTGTGTTTTATATATTGATGTGTTTGTTGCAGGAGGGATAACATCAATATAATAGCAGGCACTTTTCTTAACACCTTATGTTGCTGCGGGGGTGACAATCCTAGTGCAGGGCCCATGATGCATTGTTGCTCCCTATCCACTGTGTGTGTGTGTGTTAACGTGCTGATAGAAAACTTGCCAGACTTCCAGATAAGCAGCTAAGGCTTTTGTACCCCAATTTAAACTAGTGAAAAACATGGATGTCTTAAAATGTATGATATGAATATGTGGTTAAACTCCTTTACTCAAGGCCACTTGGCAGATATGATGAGTGGGTAGATGCTATTGTTGCAATGTGACTAAGCATAACTGAGGTAACTGTACTGTACCTGAATATTAACATTTCATTTAAATGTATACATCTACTCAACAGCATTTCGGAGGGAAATACTGTACTGTTTGCTCTAATACATGTATCTGATAGCTATATTAACTGGGTACTTTGCATATTAGGATTTTAGATATAACTGTGATGATTTTATATAATAATATGCGTAGCTATTAGGGCTGCACGATATATCGTGTCGTGACGATAATCGCGATATGCGCCTTCGCGATATCCACATTACGTGGACGTGCGATAAAAAAAGAAAACATTTAATTAAAAAAATAGGACTTGTGATATTAAGTAGGCAAATTAACTCAAACACGTATTGTTACAATTATTTTGCTGCTTGCTACAAAAGGAAAACTTGCACGGCTCTCATGTCAGGGGTACTTGAGTGAGTGACATGCAGGCTCTGCATGCACAGCAAACCACCAATCACTATCAAATCTCCAAAGCAAACGGACCCGGTGATTAAAGGTAAAAATACTGAATAAAGTAGTTTCATGTGTTGCTCCAAGGGGGCAGTTTGGGCACTTGCTAAACCGGCTAGCTCAAGCTTGTTGCTCTGTAAGACTAAGATCCCAGACGTCCGTGACTGAAATCCTTCATCCGGTTAAATATAGTTAAAAAAATACGCAATTGTATAAGCATTAAAGTTCAAGAAAGGATGGTTTGCGAAAAAAAACTGTCTTTTCTTCAATTCCTGTATGTTTTCATATCGCAATATATATCGCAGGGGGATTTTTCCAATATCGTGCAGCCCTAGTAGCTATGGATTAATAAATGTTGTAAAAGTTAGGGTTAGTTGCTTATTTATTTTTCCTAAATAGTCTCTACTGTTACCAGCCCTCTTTCTGTAACAACGATGTCAACAGATACAAGACTGAAACCAAAACCAAACAAGTCGGAAGAGAATACATCCTCCATTTTAGAAATGTTGTTTTTGCTTTACCCCAACTCCTGTCAGAATCATTTGAGGCATTCAAATATGTATTTACAATAATATTTTTCTGGTTTGTGTATTGAACCTGTGTTTTGCTTTGCAGGTGTTACAGGGTTATGTTGTGACGGCAGTGGCATGGCTTTACTGGAGTCGATATTTGTCATCGCTTTTGCTCTCATGTGGTCAATACATCTCCTCTCTGATGAAGAAGGCGCCATCTGAGAAGCCTAAGGAAGACACCTGTGACCCTCTGAAGAGGCTGATGGGATACATGCGGCCTTATCTCTGGCGCTTTGTCGCTGTGCTGACTCTTGTAATCCTCTCTTCTTTGGGTAGGACACTTTCATTTAAATGATTCGCTTGTCGTTGATCATTTATATGAAGTGTTCTCATACAACTGCAACGTTTGGAATGATATCTCTTAGTTTTCTTGGGTTTTTTGAAGCTTCGTTCACTATTTAGTGACGAAGTCCTCGACAAGCAATTAGTTTAGCATCAAGTATTTTTAGAGGCATTTTTATAAGCACAGCTATTGGGGCATTCCTGTTTTTCAGTTCAAATTGTGAAGCTTGGAATGGCTATACATAACATATTTCAGATTGACAGTTTTGTCTCTTAAATTATACTTATTTGATGTGAATTTCTGAACTCAGGTGAGATGGCCATCCCTAAATACACTGGTCGTGTGGCAGACTGGATCATAAATGAAGAAACACCGGATGCATTCACAGAGGCCATCACAGTCATGACACTTATGACTTTTGCCAGGTAATGCAACTTTTTACCTAATTTTTTTTACCGGTTCTAAGTTTGTATAGTACATGAAAATTATTTTAAAAAGTAGAGGTGTTAAGTACTTAATGTATATTTTGGTTACTTAACATTGTAATGTGCCCTCTGTCCTATGTTTCAGTGCTGTGCTTGAGTTTGTATGTGACCTCATGTACAACATCACCATGAGCTGCATACACACCTCAGTGCAGGGGTCCGTCTTCCAGGCTGTGCTGAAACAGGAGATTGCTTTCTTTGAGGCAACTTCAACAGGTAAATCATGCGTCTCCTGTATATATGACTAACTCAACAGAAAATAATATTTAAGGAAAAAGCTCTGTACACAATCTGTCATCATTAATAAATCCATTTATTTCACTTATGCTACACACTTTTTATCGAAGCCAAGCCCATTTCTTTATAGTAATGAATTTCCTAATAGATATACTTGACAACATGTGTGCTCACTGGGCACATGCACAACTCTTTTCTTAGGTGAACTAGTGTCCCGGGTTACCACGGATACCAATGACATGAGTGAGGCACTGAGTGAGAAACTAAGTCTTGTGATGTGGTACACGGCGCGTTTTGCCTTCCTCATGTTCTTCATGGTGAGCCAGTCATGGAAAATGTCTCTGCTTACCTGTATGGGACTGCCTATCATCTGGGTCATACCCAAGCTCACTGGACACTTCCATCAGGTAAAGACGACTTCTTCATATGTCTCGTATTTTTATTAGTAGAGCTGCAACAATTAGTCCGCTGTTTTGATGTATAAATATGTAAGGTGTCATTTTGATTTATCCATGTTACAGACTATTGCTGTAAAGGTTCAGGAGTCTCTGGCTAAGGCCAACCAGGTGGCCACGGAGACTTTCTCCAACATGAAGACGGTGAGGAGCTTTGCCAACGAAGATGGAGAGACAGAGAGGTACAGAGAGCGGCTGGAGGAGACTTACTCCCTCAACAAAAAGGAAGCGCTGGCCTATGCAGCCTCTACCTGGGCTAACAGTGTGAGTTGAATACTGATATGGGTTGTGTGCAGCGATTTCTAAGCATAAATGTAACCGTGAGTATAAGTAATTGGTGGGGTTAAAATATGCGACCATGCTCGTATGCTAAAATGACTATCAAGACACTAAGAACCTTGGGAAAAAACTGAGAAATATACTTTCAACCTCCATTAGTTTAGACATTTCACCATGCAATGGCCAGTGATTTTGACCTTTGTCTTCGTTGAAGTATATTAAATACAATTAAATGCAGTAGCTTTATTTTATTCATTTATTTGTTTATTCCACACATGGCAGTTATTTTAAAACAAAACATGTACACTTATACTGTTGTTTTTTCTTTAAAGCGCATGGTGGAAAGGGGCAGTGAGAAGAACATCTTATTTTACCTGCACCTTCTTAAAAAATAAATAAAAATGAAATAACCATTACAAAAGTAAAATAAAAGCAATATTCTTTCAGTCACAGTTGCTTACAAATACTGAAACATAAAACCAGAACACAATCAAAAGTCAACTTCATATTGTCTAATTACGCTTTCTTTATACATTTTCTTAAACATATACATGTTCTTACCGCCCTTTAAATCTTTCGGCAAATAATTCCACTTCTTTACGCCAACTACAGACACATCTGCATGGTTAAATGTGTAACCCGTTTTTAATTGTTTCCCAGATGACGACCTTGGCCCTGAAGGTGTGCATTCTGTACTATGGAGGGACTCTTGTCACCAGGGGGCAGGTCAGCAGTGGAAACTTGGTGTCATTCGTCCTCTATGAGCTTCAGTTTGCCTCTGCTGTAGAGGTAAGCTACAAGCCAACATAAAACTTGAATGAAAATTGAATTGACAGAATTCTTTTTCAAAATAAATGTATTTGAGTTCAATTAAAATGTGCCTCATTCTACCACCTCTCTTTCAGGCTGTCATGCATTATTACCCGGCAGTGAGGAAGGCGATTGGTGCCTCTGAGAAAATCTTTGAATATTTAGATCGCAACCCTCAATTACCAGCAAACGGCACTCTGTCCCCCCAAGATCTTCAGGGACACATTCAGTTCAAAGATGTTACATTTTCCTATCCCGGGAGTACAGACAATAGCAGTCCTGTGCTCAAGGTTTGTTTAACTGTTGTGCATCTATTTCATCTTACATTTAATACAACTACATACTGAATACTAGGGATGCTCCGAACGATCGGCCGCCGATCGATATCGGCCGATACTCACTCTCTGCCGATTGATCGGTGCTCTCTAAAAATGCCGATCGCGAGAGCCGATCACATGACGTAAAATGATGATGTAAAATGCATGACCCTTTTCTCTGTGCGCGGCAAAACAAGCTCGCCAAAATGGCTTCACCAGTCTGGCAGTATTTTAAAGGTCCCATGTCATGGCCATTTCCACTGATCATAATTCCATTGTTGACTACTAGAATAGATTTATATTGTGCAATTTTCCAAACTCACATTGGTTTCTCATACAGCATCTCTGTAAACTACGTGTATTCACTGAATTTCACTCTCTGCCTTTAACGGCTCGTTGTAGCTCCAGTAGCTCCAGCCCCCACCCTCCCTGTGAGCACAGTGTGCTCTGATTGGTCGGGACGTTGTGAATAGCGCTGAGCTCCGTGGAGGTGTGGTTTCCTTGTTTAGCGACAGCGAAACACAGCCAAACTCACCCTGAGCACACACAAAGTCACAGCCGAAGTAAAAACAATAAGTGTGGCTTGATATTGAGTAAGAAAAAGGTTGATAAACGCTGTGAGAATGGGTCTGCAGAGAGGATTTCGCCGCGATCCCAACTGTCTGTTATCAGCCTGCAGCCAGGGAGGAGAAATCAGCAGAGCTGCCTGCACTGAGTGTGTGTGTGTGAGGAAGTCCGTGGATTGGTCAATTTGGACCAATCAGCGGGCGCTTAATGTAACGGATCTGCGGACTGGTCCATTTGGTTCCGGGTAACG